GTACGAAATACCTAAGCCGTTTTAGTATTGTATGCATATTTCAGACTCAAATCTTTTCTCTATACGAGATTTGGGTTTCCAACCTTATTTACCTAGGTCACACCTTTATAACAGTAATATTATTTATCTACAGTATTCTGTAGAAGTATTCTTGCGACCGACAAATCCTATTTAAATCCCCTTTTTATTCAATTTGAATTTTATTGAGAGAATTAAATTCCATAGCTACATTTAATATTACATTTAAACATTTAATATTACATTTAAAGTACTCGGTGTAATGGAATTCTCCTAAAAATAATACGAATAATCTTTTAAAGAATTAGTTTATCAGAGGGAGACTGTACAAAAATCGTTTGCTTGAGCACCTCTGTCCCGTGAAGCAGTTGTGTTTGCATGGCTGTGTTTCGATTTTAAGGGTGGGATATGGCAGTGAATTTACAGGGTACAGAGGAATAACACCTGGGTCCTCAGGAATGGCAACGCATGGGGGCTATCATGGGCAAAACAGTATACTGTGTTATGTTCATATAGGCGACGGTTACCACTTTTCATAAGGTGGGCCGTCAGCTTGTTTGCCATTCTAAGTTGAATAAAAAAAAAATAGTTACATCTTAATGTTTTGTTAAAACATATTAAATATTTATTCTTTAAATTTATTATAATTTATACATGTAAATAAAATGTGCTGACATCTAAAACTCAAGTCTCCAGTACTGGCGTGAATAAAAGAGCAAAGATATGAAAGCAAATAAAACAATAGACGTGTGTAAAGGGATTTGGAGTAAATATTATAGATAGAAATAATATACTTCTTTGTACACGCCAAATATACTTGTGGCACGTTTCACAATTTGGGTACCGAACGGTTATCAACGGTTTTGTGGAGTGATCAAATAATTTTCCTAAAAATGCTTCGTTTAGAAGTAAAACACGTGTCGTAAAACACGTGTCGCATAATATGCGTCAATATAATGACAGTCGAAGATTGATACCTAATATGATAGGTTGTCGTTGGATAGTATAGCCGTGGGTTCCCGGCATAGAATAGGCCACCCTTTCCTTTCCCATAGATGTCGAATGAATTAACTAAGAAAGGACGAGGGATGGACAGCAGCGGCCCTCTTAAAATATCTCCAAAGCCTAACTGCGGTTGGCAATCTGTCTGCCAAACTACTGCTATAATCCTACATAGGAGAGGCTTATGTTCAGCAGTGGACAATTAACGGCTGATATGATGACGATGATGATGATGATAGGTTTTCGAACTTCTGAAAGTAATAGTGGTGGTCAATCTTCGAATTTTGGCCGTCACACACATAACAATGGTAGCGGAATTAAACAACATAATTCTAATTAAATAACTAGTAATATCACTAAAGTATTTATTACATTGTTGTTAATATTTACTAAAGTAAATTAATATAAATGCGATATATTTGTCAGGATAGATGGATATTTATTACTTTCACGGACATACTACTTGAATGGATTTGAGTGAAATTTGAAACATGGATAGGTATCTATAGGTATATACATATATGTATCCTAACTTATAACGTAGGATATTTTATACAGTAATTTGTATAGGCGAAGCCGCATAGTATAGCTAGTATTTCACCACTAACTTTTACCCGCGATATCTTCCATGTGAATAGCCTATATCTTTCTCTATACCGTATACCAAATTTCATGACAATTGATTGAGACATTAAAGTACAAAAAGGTAAAGGGATAACAAACAAACTTACATTTGTATTCATAATATTAATAATGCCTAGTAATGATGAACTAATTAGAGAAAATGGAAGTATGCAAATATCAAGGGAGACTATAATAACCTATGGCAATTAGATATAAGTACCCTGCCGAGGTTTTCCCAAGAGACTACAGCATGGGGTTCTTCAAAAGGGGGGTAACGAGGTTTCTTCAGGGTCGGCAACGCACGCGTAATACCTCTGGTATTGCAGGTGTTCATAGGCTACGGTAACCACTTACCATCAGGTGGGCCGTATGCTTGTTTGCCACCTCAGTGGTATAAAAAACAAAAAGTACTATTTGTTATCTGGACATCTAAAATTCAAATCCCTTTTATTCAAATAGACTTGCTCACAAGCACTTTTAAATCGTCATTTTTTATAAATGCAGAGTTAAGAAAGTTGTTATCTGCTAAGAAGAACCTTTGACCCTCTGACCGAGCATCCCGCTATTTCTGCGTGCAGTATCTACTAGTTTAATTCGCATCCCGCGATTTCGACGTGCTCGCATTTTTTATGTGTATTGGCGGTGTTGTTTTCTCGCGATTTTTTCTCAGAATCTCGCTAAATACTCGTACTTCTGTTTGTTGTCAAAGATTTGTGGAAAAATTAAGCGAAAAAAAATATACGGTCAGAGGGTTAAGAAACACAACAGTTAATGTTTTAAGTCTATGTCAACATTATTTATTTATTTAAAGATTAATGCACAGTAGCATTATATGTATATTTGGCAGACTTAACACCAGACGTTGTTCTCTATTGTGTGTATTTATTTAATTGTACTATGTCTAAAATTAGGTTTCAAGTCTCCGAAACCAACGTGCATACATATATTAGATGAGTTAAGATAGTATGAGTAGATAGTGCAAGAGATGTGTGTAGTTGACTTTAAAGATATCCAGTCCTTTGATTTATTTATAAAAAAAAATAATAAAAGATCGCTTTTGTTAAATAATCAATGTGCATGCTTGTAATGGAATCGTCAACTCGGGATGCTGGAATACACCTTTTAATCTTAAGAACAAAATAAATATAATTTATAACCCCTTCTCATTGCAGTAAACTAATAAAAATTGAATAATAAATATCAATAATTTTAATATACATATGTATATATATACATATATTTTTTTTAATGGGTGATAATGCTATAGTAACCCCGCCCGCGCTATCGGTATACACTGGCGGGGCACCAATGAAGGATGATAGGTGAGGATGAAGCAGGTCAATTAGTCCATCCTGACGAATTCAACTAGATGAATTCAACTACACGATGGTTTCCAGGGGGAACCACGTGGAGGTCGACCTGACAGGGTATATTGCTAGTAATGGGGCTATTTGACCCCATTACTAACAATCCCTTTCCCCCCAATATACATATATTATCGGATAGTCTCGGCGTAAAATGGCCCCCCCCCCCCATTTATCTCTCGTTATTGTCGTAAGAGGATACATAGAGGAAAGAGTTAGCATTAATTTTAAGGCGAAAATTAATTAGTTAAATTACAAATACGCTTAATAAGATTGCATATTGCTTCAGAGAAATGAAACGACTTATTTAACTTCGTATGTGGTATCATTTATGTTCACAATTTCTCCTACCAATGTCACTGTTAACATTTTCTGACATCACTGCTTCCCACAGAGCACATCCATTCATCACATGTCGTGTAAATGATACCATAAAATTGATTAGAATTCTATTTACAAATACATTATTACTCAATAATTTATTTGTATCCGATCCGATAAATTTTACCATACCATCTATTAAAAATAATCCGAAGTAGCGATTCTCATACAAAAATAGCTTTATTTTAATTTTTCGTGTTTTCAGCTGAACTTTAGGGGTTTTCTGATTATTGTTTTTAATTTAAAGCATTCCTGTATTTGAGCGAGAAAAAAAAACAAACAAAACATATTCAAATCGGTTAAGACTTTTTCGGATTTTAGCGAGACTAATGAATGAAGAAATTGATTCAAATATTTATAGAAGATTAATACTGAATATTCGAAAAGAAAAAACAATATATTAAAATTGGATACAATGCCATTATACGAGTACTAAATGAACACAAAACTCTTTAAATGTACTTTAAGTTAATATAAGGGTCGGCAACGCGCACGTGACATCCCTGGTGTTGCAGGCGTCCATAGGCTACAATGACCCTTTACCATCTGACGGGCTGTATGCATGTTTGCCACCTTTGTGGTATAAACAAAAAATACCTGAAATTATCTAACTATATGTCCAAACGAACAAGTTTAGTTCTATTAATGAATTGTAAACGAATATATTAATAAATTCACTTATATAACGTAAAATATTTACAACTAGATTAATTTACTATTTCTATAGAAACACAAAAAACAAAAACGTATCAAGTGCAAATATATTTCTATATGTCTTTATTGAAAACTCATCTAATTTATTTAATTCATGTTCCTTCCACCAAGTAGCTATTCTTGCCAGACTGTATTTTACTTCTAAGGCAAGAAATTACTGCGTATGGAAAAATAAACCACATATAGGCATAACAACAACTGAACTAACTCAATATCTAGCCATGACAACGCATGAAGGATACCATAATACCCATAAATGACGCAGTTCAAGTATATAGGCGTCGGTTACCGCTTTCCATTAGGTGGGCTGTTAGCTAATATATGAAGTCCAAGTACTAACACTAGTTAATGGATGATAATGGAATGGAAAATCCACCTACGCTTTCGGTATACACTGACGAGTCACCAGTGAAATGATAAGTGAGAATCTAAACAGGTATTTTAGGCCATCGTGACCAATTCAACAGTAATAAACCACGATGGTTTCCAGGGAGTATCGCATGAAAATTGACTTAATAGGATTTATTTCCAGCATTGGAATTGACGCCGTGTAACCATGGTAAAGAATGGGCCACCCCTTCCTTTCCCGCTGGTGTAGTAAAAGGCGACTATGGGAACTTAATGGTCGAATGATAGAAGCAGCATCCCTTTTAAAACATTATTAAAACCTGTGATTGCCAACCTGTCTATCAAACTTGGCAACTACTGGCAGAATTGGGATAATTATGGGAGATACCTATGTTCAGCAGTGGACAGTTAATGGCAAATATAATGTTGACATGATTACTAATAATCCCCTCTACCCTTTAATCAGCATTAGTAGGTACTCATGTCACCGTTGACTAAAGATAATAAAAAAAATATACAAATATATTTTAACCAGCTCTTTAATTTTAGGAGGAGCGTTACATTACCGTCATGAATCGGCTGGTAGGATACCTCCCATGGTTTATTCACACCATTAGTCGAATCATGTGCAACGTTTATGATATCATGTTCGCCATCACCCAATCATTTTGTTCGCTGAGTATTCACTGGTTCATAGCTTATTGATAGCCACTTTTCGAAGTTTTATGCCACAATCGATTTTCATAGGGCACTTTTAACAAAAAATGCATTGGACTTATCGAATGATAATGCAGTAAAAAAGATAATATTTTGAGTACAGTGCCATATGATTCGTTTTTATTTATAATTACTTATAAAAAAAGTCAAAAGGGAAAAAATGTTAGGACACTTGATACGGCACTTTCTTGCACGTACAACCAGTCTTTGGAATTAACTTCCAGTAGCAGTATTTCCGAACCGATACAACATAATAACCTTCAAGAAAAGAGCATATTCCGTATATGCCGGCCTTTTAAAAAGTTAAGGGCAGCACACCTGCAATACCGTTGGTGTTGTGGGTGATCATGGGCGGCGGAAGTCACTTACCATCAGGTGAGACGCATGCTCGTTTGCCCCGTGTTGTAAAAAAAACTAACTTATGAACATTATAATAGAAGGTAACAGGGGAAGGGGAAAACCAAGGCATAGTTACATCAGGCAGATCTAGGAAACAGTTCGTGTCGTGTCGTATCAAGTGGTGAAGAGACTCGCTGAAAATCGTAGTGAATGGCGAGAGCTCCACCGACAAGAGAGCAGCTCTTAAATAGGAAATGAAATGAAAACAAAGCTCTATAATTGTAGAACACTAATTGAAAGGGTAGTTTTATTTCGTAAATAACAATAAATAACACCGTCTTCAATTTTGTATTTATAAATACGAGCATCCATTTAGTAAATAACTCTACGTTTTACGACTTTGTATAAAGTAGGAGTCAAGTTTTGCCACTGGTAAACTGAGTCATTCCAAAAATGTTATAAAAACAAAAATAATTAATGTAAACATAATAGCAACGACCTTAAATATTTATTTCCGTAAATAAACAGATAGGAAAACAATAAATCAAACCTTGTAACTTTCTCTATTTTAAACCTGAAAAAATAATTAAATTTTAAATTAACGTCTAAACTTTCATATCGTCCAAATATGAAATGTCATCCATTTAAATTTTAGAAAGTTATTCCTCACAACTAATCTATAATTATAAAATAGTATTATTTATGTAAATTTACCCAATGACCCAAAACTTTGGTTTCCGTCCCTATATTTTATAACCCCACTTTGGGTATAATTAAATAGTACAAATTTATACTGTTATTGTAATTGAAAGAAAATAGCTTTTAAAAAATTTACAAACATAATTCAAAAAACTTATTCGATTAATGAAATTTTGATATAATAGTGCTCGTGTTGAAGTCCAATTCAAATTAAATTAATGATGCTTTATTACGTCGTGCGCCGTCTGGTTCTATTTCATTTATGCAGTAGCAAAAACATATCTATCGATAAATTCATTTGTCAGTTCCTTTATCACACGAATAATCAATAAAAATCTTTTCTATCGTATTTTTTAAGAGTGTTCGTAACTAAGTATGACAACGAAACAATTGTCTCACAATTTTAAAAAACAATTAAACATCTTTCAATGTTTTTGATTGATTATTTAAAAAGTGCACTACTAGCAATGGCGTAACTACCGGAGAATTAGACGGGGCAGTGCCCCTGGGGCCCCAAGCTCAGAGGCCCCTCGGACTCTAACTTACAAACTGTAAATTGAACTAGTGAAAATTTCTTCCACGTTCGGAATATAAATAAACCAGATTCCAGGAACGCGACTTTAGTAATGGCAACTTATTTGAAAAAATACGGGGAAATTTCCATTAAGTTTCAAACATCTTTGTTTGAAATTTGCGGAGAACTCACCTGTATTCTTAGGTTTATTTTTGGTCCCAGGGCCTTTGGTTAATCAACTACGCCACTAGCCACTAGCGAACTATACCGTTAATTAAAGAATACGTTGCATTTGAATCTAGTCTGTTCAGGAATACTGTAATTGATTGTAGCGTTGTAGCTTTTTATTTTCTTTTTTTTTATCAATACATAGTTTGTAACGAACATTTTATCCATTCATATTTTTTATTGTAAATGTTTCTTGCCCGTTCTTCTCAGCTCAAATTGCATTCTGAATTGGGCGGTAGATTTATAAAAAAAAATACTTTTCAAACATACTTATGATTAAATTTACTTGAATAAATTATTTATTATTATTCTACTACAAAAAAAATTTGCACCAACTTCTTATTCGTAAAGCAGTTGTGTTTGCTTTTTTTTTTTTTTTTTTTTTTTTTTTTCTGAATGTGTTTGCTGTTGGCCGTGTGTGGCCTTTACAGCTTCACCGGACGCGAATGCAGGGGCGAGTGCTGATGGCACTTCAAGCCCGCGAGAGGGGAGCGACAGAGGTGTCGACTCTTTCTTATGGACTGCGGTGTGTGTGTGCGCCTAAGGGCGCCAGAGTGGCTCGGCCTCGGCTTAGGCCACCGCACTTCGACCCCCGTCGAGGGACGGCGAAGGGTCGGTACGTCTGGGTGGGTGAGATTGCGACGCGGTTGTTATGCGCTCGGGCGCAAACCTGATCGCGCGCGGACCGTGTGTCGCGAGGGTTCTTCGCCCCCGCCGGCGGGGGCGGTGTGTGCGATGTGTGGGTGTGTTTGTAGGGGCTCTTGTCGAGGGTTCCGCGGTAGGTAGGGAGGGAGACGCGTTTGCCGTCGTAGTTGGATCATCGGGGTCCAAGAGTGCGTGCCTCGGGCGACGACGTTTTGGAGCGACGTTCTCTATGGGGGGTTTGTATTTGACCGCTCTTACTATGAGCGGATTTGAATGGGACTCGGCTGAGGCAAAGTAGCGTCGAGACGCTTGCTTCATAAATTGCCTTATAGTGGGTATTTTGAGGTCGCGGTGTAGATCCACGTTGCGCACGTACCACGGGGCGCCCGTGGCCCGTCGCAGAAATTTATTTTGCACCACCTGAAGGGGGTTAAGTAATGAAGGAAGGGCGTGGGCGAAGACGACACTAGCGTACGTCATCACCGGTCTTATACATGCTTTATAGAGCGTCAGCTTTGCGTTAAGCGACAATTGGCTGCGCTTGTTAATAAAGGGATGGAGGCGTCCCAGTATAAAATTGGCCAGGCCTCGGACGCGCTTAAGATGAGATGCGAAACTCAACTTGGAATCTAGTGTCACGCCTAGGTATTTGGCTTCGTTCGTCCAGGGGACGGGCGTGCCAAACAGCTGAATAGAGGCGGGAAGGGATGGTTTTCTTTGGCCGTGAAAAGCACGGCGGCGCTTTTATCTGGGTTGACTTCGATGCGCCATTTTCTGAACCAGTAGGCCAGCTCGTCCACCGCCCGTTGAAGCCTGTTGGCTGCACAGGCGGCCGACGTGCTGTCCACATATAGGGCTGTATCATCAGCAAAGAGGGCGATTTGCACTCGGGGCTGACGCGGGATGTCGTTGGTGTACAACGAGAAGAGGGTGGGGGAGAGGACAGCGCCTTGAGGGACGCCGGCTCTAATCGGTCGTGCGCTGGAACGCACTCCATTGACGCGATAGCGATATGACCTATTGGACAAGAAGGCTCGTATGATGTGCACGAGCCTGTCTGGCACTCCCATCTTGTGCAGTTTGAAAATCAAGCCGCTGTGCCAGACTTTGTCAAAGGCCTTCGCTACGTCGAGAAACAGGGCACATGTGACCCCGTTGGATTTCAGGTGTCGGGCGTTGAGGACGTGTTCTACTACACGATGTACTTGATGAACAGCTGAGTGCTTGGCTCTAAAGCCGAACTGCTCATCGATCAGGATGCCTTTGGACTGTAGCCAGTCTTTCAGGCGTGCGAGTATTAGCTTCTCATACAGCTTCCCCAGCGAGCTGAGGAGACTGATGGGGCGAAAACTGGTGGGAAGGGACTTATCTTTCCCAGGTTTGGGAAAGCCTACGACATCGGCTTCTTTCCAAGCATCTGGAAAGATGGCATTGGTAATTGCCGCATTGAAGATCGCTACTAGAAGTAGCAGAATGGTTTCTGGCTGACTCTTAAGGAGTCTGTTAGAGATACCGTCGGCACCGGGTGCCTTTCGGTTGGGGGTTCCTTTGATGAGTGTTCGCACCTCATCCAGTGTAACGGGGGGGAGTGACTCTACTGGAGGGATCGACAGGATTCGCTCCACCTCGGATTCTACCTTCTCTAGATGATCATCGGGCACCGGAAGGGTACTCGGCATGCATTGGGCCTCTAGGCTGTCTGCTAGGCATTCAGCCTTTTCTTCATCAAATAAGGCCGGACTGTTGTTTGTTCGGACTAAGGGCGGAAGGTCGGAGTAACACTGGTCTGTTTTGAGGGTTTTGGCTACTCGCCAGTACGCGGTATGGCAGGGGGTGAGTTCTTTGGTGAACTTATCCCATCTGTCTCGCCGAAGTTCCGCTATGCGACTCTTTACTTCGCGCTGTAAATCTCGCAGGCGGGTTCGGTTCTCTTCTGAGGGATAGCGGTCATACGCTCGTGTGGCTGCATTCTTAGTGCGCAGCAGAGCCCTTACATCATCAGGCAGGTTCCATCTACGGTCGCCCGTATCCGGAACCTCCCTGGAGCAGTCCTTGACTGCCGACTGCAGGTGCTCTGTTAGCGCGTCAATGGCTGTAGTCGTCTCCTCGATAGATTCGACTACGTCCGGGATGCGGTCCAGTACCGGAGAGTTAGTCGACTCGAGGACTTTCTCGAGCCGGCTCCAGTCCGTGACCGTTTTAAATTGAGGCGCCCCGTCTGCAGGTGGGCCTAGCGAGAATGTGACGGGGCGGTGGTCGGAGATGAGTTCGGCATGGACCTCCATAGAACTCAGCCTTAAGGCTACGTTCTTTAGTAGGGCCATGTCGAGGATGGAGGGCTGATGAGCAGTGTTTGCCGGATAGTGCGTGAAGTGCACTGGGGGAAGGATGTCGAAACCCATGGAGAGCGAAAGGCGTTCCAGGGTGAGACCGTTTGGGT